CTCACACTTTTGCTGTGAACCTAAAATTGCTCTAAAAAATAAAGCCTATTAAAAAAATCCAACAGCCAATATTCCTTAAAACATTCCCCCACCCCGCCACAATGTAGTTAAAACGTGCAACTTGACTGTGTTCTCTATGATTTTAAGAAAGATGCCAACCAAGAATTACTTTGAGGTAGCTGAGTTATGCTTAATATGGAACTTTCTTTTTTAAAATTAGCCTGGAGTGAATGTAACTGTGCACTTCAGAAGGAAATACATAACTTATAAAACCCAGTTACCACCACTATTGTGGTAAAAACTAAAAAATTCTGACTCTAGCTTTGTCATGGATATATCTTGGATTTGAATTGTTAGATATAAAGGGACTATCTGGTCCTGTGCTATACTCATGGACACTGAAGACAAGATGAATGAGAGAAGAGAAGGTCTTTAAAATGCTTAGAACACTCAGATGCCAATAATTATTGACTACCTAAAGATTAGAAATATTGTATTAGGGGTGGTAAATTTTTTCAACAAATATTTCCTGATGGTCTACTATGTCAGTGAAGTAGATACTACCCCTGTCCTGATGGAACTATCTATCAAATCAGAAAAGCAAAATGATGATGGATATATACTGCAAACTGATATATGCAATATAGACATAAGGGAAAACATGGAGTGATGAATCGCTATAGGTAAACTTGGCTGAGGAGTTCTGAGTTGGTGGAGTCAAGAACGCTGGTTGTTCAAAGCAAGGACTAGGCCAAAGGAAAGTCGCAGAGCAAAGATGGGAGCAGAGAGTGGGGTGATAATTAGGTATGAGAGTGATAGCAATTACTTAGTGGTGTCAGGAAGTGATTCCAATCCACAAGACAACGCGATTTTATTAACACCCAAAGGAGCCGAGAGTTGGACTCTACCTCGTGACGTGGCAAAATTCTACTGCAATCCTCTCGGTCATGTACCACTCACGTGGAAACATTCGGCCATATTTCTCCTCATAGTCCACAAGCTGGCGTTTTATCCAGGCATAGCGTCTGTCGATTTTGTCCAGCCAGGCGACCTTAGGAAATCAGGTAACAAAATCCACCCCAGTACTTAGTAGTGTTGAGAGTTTAAGGAAACAGCAAAAACATAGAACCAAGAAAAACACCATACTCTCTATTTCTCACGGTTTTAAAGAATCTAGGTGTTTTTTTGTTTTTGTTTTTTTAATTTAAAGAATTATTTTCCTTCTTATCCAGATAGAAAGGCTATAGTTCTATTATGCTTTCTCAGGAAAATACAGGGTCAATCTTTTTCAAGAGGTTTTGTATTCCAACTCCACCGGTGAAACACTCCTGTTACAAGGCAGACTGAACCAAGCCAAGGGGATGATCAGGCTGCTATCAAACTACTTAATGCCCTGTGGCTCCTGATCAATCCTCTGCCACTCCTGGATTCATCCTGGTTCATTCAAAGCCTGCTTTTTGTCAACAGTAAACCTAAGAGGAAAACACTGAAACATGAGCTCCAATTGGCTAGATTAGGCTACTTTTTTACTAGATCCAGAGGTTCTTACCCTGGGGTCCATGATTGGGCTTCAGAGGTCTGTAAATTTCCTGAAACCGTATACAAAATTTTATGCGTAGGTGTTTTTTTGTGGGGAGAAGATCTGTATCTCCCATTAATTTCTCCAAAGGGTCAGTGACCCTAAAATGGTTAAGAACCACTGAACTGTACAGTTAGCCCCTTGGATTCACGGTTCAACAATCAACACTTTAAGACAGTAATACTAATAAAGTATATATTGGTAGGCTTGAGAGCATTCAATTTTCAATAAAATTCAAATGTAACATCTGATCTCATTTGGTCAATACTTACATCTTGGTTTTCTTGAAAAAGTACTAGATACTCTGACAGATGCTGTTTAATAAACTTTTTGATGATATCCTGTTTGATTCTGGGGTCCAAAATATTAGCAACCAGGCATGCATCTCGAAGGACATTGCTGGGTCCTCCGGGCCTCTGTTAAAACAAATAACACACACCAGTTCAAAAGCCAGAAACAACCTCTAAATCTCATGGTCTCTGACAGCTGCTACTTCTTGTTTTTCTCTCGAAGTTATTACTCCCACTCCCTTGACACTCATTCTTCTGTTGTGGATGGATATTTTAGTTACTTGTTCTCCGATGAGAGAATCATTAAGCTAGTCTGCAGTAACCAATATAAAAGCTACTCTGTGAATCAGCAATGAGATATTTTAGAAGACAGGGCCAGTAATGATCATAAGAAATTTTGCTTTCTGAATATCAAAACTGAAGTCACTTTGTGGAAGAGCCCTAAAAGTAAGTAAGAATGACCCCAGTCTCACATGTGCTACTTCTCCCTGATTCCAATCTCAGATTCCTATTTTTAAGGTGCCAAAGAGTGCGGTGGCATTTTATACCTAAAACCAGGGTCCAAACCACCAGACTTGTTTCACTGAGAGTCAACCACCCAGATATGCAGCCAAAGGTAAAATATTATGATATCAGCCTACAAAGAACAGTAGGATATCGAGGAGCTGTATCGATACATTACAATGGGAAGACTTTTGATATTATCGAGAGCAATTCAGTCTCACTGAACCTTTCTTTACAGTAACTCACTGAATGAACACGGCTAGCAGAGTGGATTATAGTAAAAAGAACACTTGGAACCGACTCTTGGCATGGCTGAACAGCCACGTAGCTTTGGTGCAGTTATTGAACCTCATCTGAAAAATAACGGACTTTAACAGGTGATGAGTAAGGTTCTTCCAAATCTTTGTGTTTTGTTTTATTTTTGTCAATTCTGTCCAATTTATCCATCTCAACTGATGTTCAAGTGTTTCATAAGTGTTACCTAAGCTGCCTCAGAGCTAAACTGTTAAAATGCTCACTAGCTCCGTGCTGAGTGGCTGTTAAGTCATCTGCTGAGCACGCGGACTGCTCAACTGCTGAATGAAAGCATTTGATCTGATAGAGAAATTGCAGAAACCCAAAACCATGTGTTCATGAGTTCAGATTTTTTCATTTAAAAAGGACTTCATAGATTACCTTGGATATACTATTTTAATATCATGAGTTCCATCTGTGAAATAGTAGCACAAGGACTTTAAGAAAAGTCAAGAGCCATTAAAAAGGAAAAGAAAAAAAAACAACTCTGGTAAAAAAGACATTGTTACCCAGTCAGATAAAAGGGAAGCAAGTTATTAAGGAAAACCATTTTAACTTCTGCCTGGTGCAATCTGGGAAAAAGATATAGCATAGGTCATGGTTGGTTTCTTCTAAATAATAAAGCTGGGCTTCATTCACATCATTCTGAAACTTCTCAAAACTGGGATGGACAGCACAGTATAGGAAAGCAGATCCTGGACTAAGACGAGTCTGGTCCTTATAATTCGTGAATATCTTAGAATCCCTTTTCACAGAATTGCTTTCCAGTATGTACTTCCCATAGTTACATCAAATGAATATGAATATTAAGTCCTCAAAGAAAAAGGCTTTACAAATAAAATATCTGATTACTAGAAGACAGCCACTATACAGGCAGACATTAAAATCAGAAGCAAGTTTCCTATAGAAAGTAGTAGTCTAGGGCAGCTACCTCACCTACTTAAGTTTCTTTTATGGAGCAGAAAGAAAAAATTTTAAGATATTTCCAGTTATTGAATTATAGAGCAGATCCAGGAAACGTTCTTTGGCTCAGTAGATGAACATGTATCCGCCATCTCCACCCACCAAGTGTGAGGAATGCTGCCTGCCTGTGTGTACTTCAGCTCATTTCTGAACCATTCTTTCTCTTGAAACAGCTCAAATAATAGAGGGAGAAAAAAACTTCTGAAGGTTCTTCCCTCCCCAACACATGCAAAGCATTAAGATTATGTCTGCTACAATTTGAAGGATAGAGCTAAAAGCAGTTAACCAAGCACAATGACAGCCAAGTGAGGCAAAGCTTGTTACATGAGAGGTGTAACCAATAGCTCACAAGTGAAATACTGTGGGCTTCCCAGACACAACACAAACAGCTATGCTACCAGTGAGAGCAAAAGGGATTAATTCCAAAGAACAGGATTCTGATCATTAAAAGCAAGTCTCCTAACTGTGTCACTCCGAGTTACATAAGCCTGTGGACTTTCCTCCCAGTTGCCTTTTCACCAAACTGAAACCAATAAGTTATGTAACAATCCAAAAAAACACTGCGGCTTGAAGATTTTTTTTTTTAAAGCAAGGCCATGAGAAAAAAGGAATTTACTGGGCAGACAAGATATTAGGTTTGACACACATTAAATTATATCAAAACAAATCCTCACTTTTTGATGCTGAAAGAACACAGATGAAGAATCAACACTGCTTTGGGATATTTAAAATTAAGAATGGTCTCATTACCTGAATCCTTGGCAGACAGACTTATGGCTGCCAGCAAACACTTTTGGAATGATAAATGGAAATAATAACGGTAGTGAGCGTGAATTAGGTAAGAATGGTGATAATATCTGAAGACAGAAGGGAAAATGCAATACAATACCTTGGTACCCTGAGAAGGAAATGCTTCTTCAAAATCGGCCAGGATTTGCTGTCCTAACTCAGTCTGGGCGGCCTTCACTCTGTAAGGAAAAGAGAACATTTCACTGCCTGGCATATTTGCAAATATCTACAACTAATTATGCAAAGATCCACAGGGGTCAGAACTGTTGGAGCCTTTAGAGATCATCAGGAAGGGGAGGGGTGTCTCGGTAAGCAGGGTCACATAATAGTTAGTAGCAGGTTTACAACCATGACCCACGCATCCGATTTATTCTCATGATGAATTTTCTATATCCCAAAGTTCTTCCAGGACACGCTTCAACGGTCATGAGGTACTATACGTTAACTGTTACAAAACATCGTTATGGGGTAGTTATGTTGTGGGAAAATACTATATAATAATGCCCAAATCAAATATAAATTTATTTTGGATTACTACTTGAAGTAAAGAATGGGAGGAGGGCAGAGCTGTTTTTTTTCCAACCCAGAAACCAACATCAGGATCATAAGTTTTAACAAATGAACAAATAGAATGTTTCCTAAAATCGAAAGAAAAAAATGATAAAATGAACTTTTAATTGACGATGAATAAAGATTTAGATTCACTCGGCAGATTATGAATATGAAGACTGAGCTACAATGAAAACCAGTTGGAAAGAAAAGGTTAGTATTTAACACAGTGGTCTGCATGTACACTAGCTCAACAAATATTTGTCAGTTTAAATGAAAGAGGAGAAAGGAGAAGCAGCTGGACGAGAAAGGAACCGTGTCAGCACCCCCCGCAATGCTCACGTCCTCCACCAGCCACATGTCCTGCACCACAGGCCAGCCTCACAGAGCTGGAGTGGAGCAAGGCTCTGAGGCTGCAGCTGAATTGCCCTGAGCCCGAGGCAAATACTTCATCTTTGCTAAAAGCACCATGAAACAGTGTTCTTCCTTCCTTAGTCTCCACCCTGTTACTTTGGAATTAACTTTATGAAGTTTCTAGAAATAGTGAACAGCTCAAAACCACAATTTCTTTGGCTATTAGGCAGTGCCTAGCAACCTACTGAGGTTTTTTTTTTTTTTTTAAATGAGGGGATAGGCGGGTCCTAAAACAGTGATTTTTCTGTGGCACAGTTATAATTATGCCTCATTTCAAATACTTTCCAGGGTTTTTCCATTATCTTCAAAATGTTTAAAATCACTCTGCTAGGTGGGTTTGCAGTCTTTTTAGTCAGTTTTTAAGGGGGCTAGAAATAACTGAGATAAAGCTATCACTTGAAGTAGCCCCCCAAATCAGAATCAGGGCCATCCATCTAGTGTTACCCAACAGACAATGGGAAACATTTCTGACAGGAAAGAAGAGAACAAACTTTTGTAAAATTGTACCTCAGAGGTCTTTTGCGACTCTACAGAATGAGCCAGGAAGACAGACTCCCCAGGTGCCAGCTCACAAGACAGCGCTTCCAGAGCCTCAGGCCCCTCTGTTCCTACTCTCCTCTTGGCAGCACACGAAGAACACCGTCCCCTCTAAGCCCACAGGGACAATTCCTGGAGGGGAAGTCCCATTCCCAGCCAGGGACACTCAGGGTCATATAGCAGGGCTTCTGAGGATCTCACTGATACTTAATGGTTCCAGCTCTGCCTTTGTCACCCCACCCACCCACCATCCCTTAACTCCATCTTCTTGAAAAGACAACCAGAGGCTTGGTACGTCCAAAGTGCAGAACAGAGGGTAAAGCACCAGACCGTGATGTGCAGATCCACTTGCCATCTTTTTCAATCCATTTCAAAATCACCTCTTGAGATAGTCTGGACTTAGCTGTGCCACTAGTGAGCTACGTGTAATTATCAGTAAGTCCTTACCCTTATATAGGTTACAGCTAAGAACAGTTGTGAAATAAAAGGCTGGGGCTCCATGGAGGCCTGTACAAGATGCCTTTCAGTCAACAATCGTCTTACAGCACTAGCTAGCATCAGCATCTATCTTTACAGCTGACTGTAAATCAGATGTATAATTAACATTTGAGCAGAATAATCTGCACATAAATGTTTCCAACTGTAGTTTCTGAAGTGTCTTATCAGTGACTCGGATAAAAAAGCTACCATTTCCCTTACTGACATTAATGATGGTAACTATAACCCAAACCACAATTCCATGCATTTTCAGGGTAAGATGTGAATAGTCGTCTTTACAATCAGTTGCCTAAATAGGATCCTAGAAAAAAGTCAATCATTTAAAAGAATAAATCTTCAATTTCACTCCTTCATAGTCCAACGAAGTAAATTCCTACAAGAAAGAGATGGATCAACTGAGACTCTGTTAGCGGAGCATATATATGGGTTGAGCTACCAAGAGTTCCTAGTTATTCTTATGAAAATCAATCTACAATTGATAGAGAATAGTTTGGTAAATAAAAATTCTTCCTGCCATCCAAATAAGCTTAGCCTGGTTGGGTGGTGGCAACTCAGTGCTGATCACTCTTAGGAAATGAAAGATTCATTGTGCTGCTCAGAAGGTCAACCAACTTGCTTCTAGCATCCGCCATACTACGTGACTAAGAGTTGTTTAAAAGTGCCCTTTCCTAAACGTGTTACCAGTTTTCATAAGGGGGTGGTAGCAGAGGGACAGCAAATTATGAAAATTATTTAGACATCTGTGGGTAAAGTAGTCTCGATTCTTTCATTACCTTGTAAATGACAGTCCCGAAGAAAATACTCAGAAGAGTTCACAATAAACTGACCTCTCAAATAAACACTCTGTCCTGGGAAGAATGGTTAATTAGTCAGATTAGTCTGAGATGCTGCATTTCCAAACTGAGAGGCTCTATAATCTCAACCCAGAATCTTAGAGTGACTCAGTGGGATGCTTTTGAGCTTCAAGTAAGATCCTTAAACTTTTTAAAAAATATTTTTAAAATTTTCAATTACAGTTGGCATACAATATTATATTAGTTTCTGATGTACAACATGGTGATTAGACATTTATATAACTAACAAAGTTATTTATCACCCTGATAGATCTGGTACCCAACTGACACCATACATAGTTATTATAATATTACTGACTATATTCCCTATGCTATAATTTACATCCCCATGACTACTTTGTAACTGCCGATCTGTACTTCTTAATCCATTCCCCTTTTTCACCTACTCTCCCAAACCCCCTCCCACCTGGCAATCATCAAAACGTTCTCTGTATCTATGAGTTTGTTTCTGTTTTGTTTATTTTGTTCTATAGATTCCACCTGTAAGTGAAATCATATGGCATTGTCTTTCTCTGTCAGACTTACTCTCCTCAGCACAATACCCTCCAGGTCCACTCATGTTGCTGCAAATGGCAAGATTTCGTTCTTTTTTATGGCTGAATAACATTCCATTGTATATATGTACCACCTCTTTATCCATTCATCCATTGACAGGCACCCAGGTAGCCTCCCTATCTTGGCTACTGTAAACGATGCTACAGTGAACATATGGATTCACATGTCCCTTCGAAGTAGTGGTTTGTGTTTCTTCAGATAAATACTCAGAGACAACCCTTATACTTTTGAAACCCTTGCACTTTTGAAACTTATACTTTTGAAACTGAAGTTCCTTCAGAAAGAACTTGTCAAAGATACACAGCTAGTCAGGCCTTTTCATTCTCTACTTTAGTTTCTTTTATTAGTATACCATGCAATCCCAACCTGCCAAGCATCTCTCAAATATAAAGGATTAGAAATAGCTCTAAAAATATTTTTCAGTTCAAGGGTTTCATGGGTTTCAAGTGAATGCAGGAATCTTCCATTCTTTCTCAGGAAATATTGACGGATTACTAGAAACATTTGCGTTCATAGATATTCTTAAGCCAGGAGAATTTGAAATGTAAAGATGGTATTAAAGAAAAAAAAAAATCTTCCCTACAACACATTAATGACTGAGCATTTTCCAGAAGAGTAGCTGGAAAAAAAAATAGATATTTTCAAATCAAGGTCCATGAACTTCATATTTCAAATGTACAGGCAAAGATTTCAGAATGTAACCTTTTGTATGATTTCTACAATTTATAGATAGTAAGCTATCAAATTAGAGAAACTGAAGCAATGCATAGGGTGTAATCCTCCCCCACAAACAAACATCTATTTCTATCATTTCCAGATGGTTCTACCATTGCTATGTAATCACAATAGAGGAAAAGCACCAGAGATGATGTTAAAAATATGAAGTCTGGACTTTCCTCAAACTTTTAATATCTCTTGAGAAACAATTGTAGTCAAGCACTGAAAATGAGGTTTCTTCTCTTGTGTTACTTTTAGTGGTACTTAATAGCACATACTCTACATTAACCCACATGAAATTTTTGCAAATAGAGGTTGTGAAAGAAACAAAAAGAAAAGTAAATTTTCCTGTGTTTGCAGCAACCCTGCATGATAATGGATGTTTGGAGCACTGAAAAACACTGACAGAATGTTGGATTTTTTTTTTCTTTTTCAGGGGAATGTCATTACAACAGTCATCACAAAGCTCTTTTGAGTCTATAAAATCACCTCTTCGAAAAAATGTTAAAGAGCGAAGAGTCTGAAAAGAGTGCATTCTCTTATTTGTCTCTACATTGCCTGTTTATACATAAAATTCAGTTCTGCCACATTCCTGCCATCAACACTACCCATCACACACAACCAACTGGTATGGTAACCGACTACTCAATACACTTCCTTGACCTTATAGTCACTGTTTTGGTGAGGTTATCTTTTCTACTCTAAAACATAGTCTCACTTTCCAGTCTCTTGTACCTATAATCCACCAGACTTTTATAAAACACAAATGCGATCATGCCCCTCCATGCTGAAAATCTTTCACAGCCCACCAAATAATGAATAAATTCTTTAGCAAGGCATGTTAAATCTGACCCTACCTACTTGTGCAGCCTTTCCCTCTCCATTGTCTCCCAAGTACCATGATGTTCTCGCTTTCTTCTATTTCCACTTGCCCCCATTTTTGTCTTGGTGGGTAAGATCTTGCCCATTCTTTTAAAATCAGATTAAAACTGAATTCTGCTACAACCCCTACCCTCAGCCCCTGAAGGGTGAGTCTATTAATTCTTCTTCTATGATCCTGCTACACCTTGTACAGTAAATACTAGTTTATGTGCATGCTCTACTGAAATTTTCTATTAGTGTCTCCCTTCTCCACACAAAAGTGGTAAACTCCTTGAGGGCAAAGAACGTGTATTTTTTATTTTTGTGCCTTTAGTACTCTAGCATGGGGCCTGGGATATAGAAGGTGCATAGTAAATATCTATTAGGTAAGTGAAGAAAAGAATAAACGAATGGGAAAAATAGATCAACTCTGGATTTTTATGAGGACATGGGGAGGAGATATGACCTCCTTTCCTCCTCCCCCATCTACTGAGAACAAGTCCGCCTTCTCCATCCAAGTCTCCTTCTTTCTTACAACTCATAAAGCCCTGCTTGTCTGCTCTCTTAGCTGCTTTTCACCCTCAGGGTGATATGGCGATCAGCCATCTCTAAGTGTGAAGCCGTTAGGAAGGATGAGGGAAAGGGTGGTGATTTCCCTAGTATTCTGCCAAGCTCTGCTCCAACATTCCTTAACAGTTCTTTGGCATTTCCACTGTAAGATGGCACACTGAGCAGATGTCGCAATCTCCCCTTCCTGCTCCAGATCCTTAGAAATAATGAAAAGATTTTAATAAAAATCCAGAACAAGGCAAGAAAAGAAGTGGTATACTAGAAACTCTGAGTCTCATGGTGGTTTGTTACAAGGAAATGGACAACTGGAATAGTTTCCCTCACAAATGTGGAAAACTGAGAGCTGTCCAGATATACAACTTGCCAGCTGCCGCTCCAATGATGGCGGGCCAGTAACCACCTGACATAGGCAGCTTTAGAAGATATGGTCAGGAGTTGGTAAGAATATGGTAGATGGGACTTCTGCATCAAACAGAGTTAGATCAGATGACATCTGAAGTTCCTTCTTATTATAAAATTCTATAATATATACACTAAGCTAAGTGCTTAAGCATTTCCTAATACCATCTTTTCTTAAAAGAGAAGACAATTTTCTCCAACGACATTTTACCTTTCAGAAAGCTGCCGGATCTGTGGAATTCCCATATACTTGTGGAAGTGTTCCAGAACATTCATTACACCCTGAAGAAGATTAGCAACTTCTCCATATTGCCTTCGCCTGGTCATGGCTCTGTAAGGAAATAAGAAGTTGAGAACTCTAGAAAAAACACTAAGGACACAAAATACAGATGTAGAACAATCTACTCTGAATTCTGAAGCAGACATCAACTCAATTTGTTTTTTTTTTTTCAACTCGATAATAAGCATTTACTGAGTACTAAATAAGTATGGTGCTGTGCAGTAGGGCGGGGGTGGGGGGAGTAAGACTTGGTCCAAATCCTCAAGGTGACATCATTTAGTAAGCAGAGAGCCAAGTACACATCTAACTAATATCAAGTAGAATGAACTGAGTTCTAAACAGAAGTACTAGTGATGTGCTAGGGGAGGTACCAAAGAATGTGTGAGTGATAGATTCTTATTGGTTGGGAGGAGGGAAATCTGGGAAGACTTTGGATTTGGGATTTGTGTTGGGTATTATGGGATTAGCAGGCTTTTGACAGAAAAGAGGGGTGAGGACGTTATTATCTGAGGATTATAGTTTATGAGCAAACCAAATACATCTTCCTGGGATATAAAAAAGGGCATTTATATGCATTTACATGTCAACTCAAATCTGTATGTT